CCTCCAGCCCCTCCCTCTCTCAGCACTGCTCCCAGAGGCCACCCCTGCCCCTTCGCTCCGCACTCCATGGCTGCCAGCCTTTGTTTTTTTTTTAAATTTAAATTCAATTAGTTAACATATAGTGTATTATTAGTTTCAGAGGTAGAGGCCAGTGAGTCATCAGTTGTATATAACACCCCGTGCTCACTGCATCAAGTGCCCTCCTTACTGCCCATCACCCTGTTATCCCATCCCCCTCCACCTCCCCTCCAGCAACCCTGTTTGCTTCCTATGATTAAGAGTGTCGTATGGTTTCTCTCCCTCTCTGATTTCATCTTGTTTTATTTTTCCCTCCCTTCCCCATGCTCCTGTTCTGTCCACCTTTTCAAGGACTTTGCCCCGCAATTATCTCCTCTTCCTTCCTCACGACCCATTTCTTCTTCTGTTCTTCCTATCAGCATTTTCCATCTTTACGAACCTTCCTGCCTCCATGTCACCCATCTTTCTGCCCCAGCCTCCTCTCCGAGGGGCTCCTGGAGGTGCCCACATTGCCATTCACTTCTTTGCATCCCATTTTCAATTCTGCTCCCTCCAGTCAGGTCTCCACACTCACCTCCTTCACTAACACAGCTCTTGTCAAGGTCACCAATTATCTTCATGTTGCTGAGTCCTGTGGTCACTTTTCTGACCTCATCTTATTTGACCTCTAAGCAGCACTTGACCCAGCCAAGACCTGACTCCTTCTTGAAAGCATCCCTTACTTGGCTCCTTGATACCTCACCTTCCCCCACCTACTCCTGCTCAGGCTCCTCCTCCCCCTCTGGGACACCTAAAGGTGTCAGAGTGGTCCAATGGCCACCTTCTTAACTCCATCCACACTCCTTGCCTAGATGATCTCCTCTTGCCCCATGGTTTTAAATATGTCGCAATGCCTCTAACTCCCAGATGCCTATCTCCAGTCCTGACCTGTTCACCAAGCTCTAAATCCATATAGCAAACCAGATGTCTCCCCGTAGATGTCAAATGGACAAGGCAAACATCACATGACCAAAATGGAAGTCTTGGCTCCTGACCCCTGTCCCTCTGTACCTGTTACTCCCCGAGTTTTTCCCCATCTAAGTAAATGGCACCACCATCCAACCAGTTCCTGAAACAAAATAACCAGGCGTGTATCTTCCTCTCTTCCTTTCCTTCATTCTCCACATCAGCAAGTCCTTTTGGCTTTACTTCCAAAGTCCATTCTGGATCCATCCACTCCTCTCTATCACCACCTCCTCCCTCAGCTCCAGCTATGGTCCTGTCTTGCCTGGACTGCTGCATTAGCCTCCTAACTGTCCTTCCTTCTTCCATTCTTTTTTTTTAAATTAAAGTGTAATTAATATACAATGTTATGTTAGTTTCAGGTGTATGATATATCAATCCAACCATTCCATACATTACTTAGCACTCACTATGGCAACTGTAGTCACTATCTGTCACCAAACAACACTATTACAATATTATTGACAGTATTCTCTATGCTATACTTCTCATCTCCATGACTTACTTGTTTTATAACTGGACGTTTGTACCTCTCAATTCCCTCCACCTATTTCACCCATGCCCCCCGCCCCTGCCCCAGCAGCCACCAGGTTGTTCTGTGTATTTAAGAGTCTGGTTGTGCTCAGCTGTGTTCTTCATGAAACTACATAAAACTTCACAAAACGGTATCTAAAACTGCAAATCAAACCGTGTCACTCCCCGACATTTAACACCCTGCGCTGACCTCTCATCGGGTGGGGAATGAAATTCAGACTTTATGCATGTCATGGCCCAGCAAGCCCCACCTGAGTGGCTGCAGGCCACCTCAGTGACCTCCTCCTTCCATTCCCCTCCCCTGCCTGCTCCCCTCCCCACTCCCCTGCCTGCTCTGCTGCAGCCAAGCTGTCCCCCTCCTCAGACATGCCAGGCTCTGCTCCTTCAGCTTGGAATGTTGTGCTTCCAGAACCTGGCATGGCTGATTCTTCTTTGATATTCAGGTTTCAACAAGAAGCCACCTTCCCTGTGGGGCTTTTTCTCACCACCCCACCTAAAGCAGCATCTCCCCCACTAATAGTGATCCCCTTTTCTACTCATTTCCCCAGGAATGAATGTTTAGGGTTCTTTCTTTTCTCTCTCTCTCTTTTTTAATGATTTTATTTATTTATTTGACAGAGAGAGACACAGCGAGAGAGGGAACACAAGCAGGGGGAGTGGGAGAGGGAGAAGCAGGCTTCCCGCTGAGCAGGGAGCCCGATGTGGGGCTCGATCCCAGGACCCTGGGATCATGACCTGAGCCGAAGGCAGACGCTTAATGACTGAGCCACCCAGGCGCCCCTCTTTTTTTTCTCTTATAACAAATCTACAGTGAGCCTCCTCAGACTTTCTCTGTGTACGTGTGAGAGCTTCTCTGAGACATGCACAGGTGAATTGCTCTATCATAGAATATATACATTTTCAATTTTACTAAATACTGTCGAATTGCTCTCCAAAGTGCCTTTACCTGGCAGCTTCAGAGGATTCTTATTTCTCCCTTGGGTTCAATGCACTGGATATTCTCTCACTTGAAATTTCTGTAGCTTTGGTAGATGACAAGGGGGAGCTTTTCATTGTTTTATTTTGCATTTCTCTAATTGCTAGAGAGTTTAGGCATTTGGCTTTCTTTTTGCGCTATCCATATGCCTTGACCATTGTTTTATTGGGAGTATTTGTCATTGTCCAATGGATCTATAGGCTCTTTTATCAACATTCTGAACACAAATCTCGTATATGATAAAGATGCTGTAAGTATGTACTCTATCTGTTGCTTGTCTTTTAACATTGCCCCATAACATCTTTTATCATAGGCAAGTTTTAAACTTACTGTTGTCAAACAGATGAATGGTTTTTGTTACAGTTTACGCCTGCTGTGCATATTTACTCATCCTTAGCCTCCCTGAGGTCAGCAAGTTATTTCTTCATCTGTTTTTCTAATCTTTGTAAAGTTTTACTTCCCACATCCAGGTGTTGGTTCCACTTAAGATGTGTTTGGGGCATGGCTTCCATCCCTTTATGATCTGAACAGTCAGTAACAATAAAAATCAGGAGATACAGCCCTGACAGGCAACCGTCTGCCAAGTGCCTCTCCTTTGCTGGCCCCTTCCCTCCGCGGGGGGACTCACCCAGCATCTGGCCCACGTGCTCTCCTCCCTTATCAGAGAACTGGTTGTGGCTGAGATCCAGCGTCTTGATTTGGTAATTGGCCTGGAGAAAGAAAGTGTAGAGAGAGGTGAGTTTTGGCTTCTCTGTGGCTGCAAATACCTCTTTCATCTCAGGGCCATGTGATGGAGGGCTCCCACGCACCAAAAATCGGGTGGATGTGAGTTTTTAGACAGAAGACATTCTCCTGTGCATTTTTGTGTAACTGTTGATGACCCTGGGAGGGTCTCGTCCCATCCAAAGGGCCCTGCTACTGCTGTGGCTGTTGTCAGGCTCGGCAGAGTCCAGACCCTCACCAGCTCCCTAGACATTCAGGGGACCTCACCTCTCTCTGCCTGGAGCCACCCGCCAGGCCCCCCACATCACCCAGGGCCATCCCCCACAGGGCTCTCAGTGGCCCCTGCCCCTCACTTCTTACCGACAGGGCTTGGCACAACAATTCTGCGGATTCATCCCTGAAGTTATTTCCTGCAGTGAAGGGTGGGGAGGTGTTTGCAATGTTGTCCAGACTAAGGCTCCCTTCCTCTCCCGCGTCCTGGCCCTGCCAGGCTCTTCCCTTTGGAACAATCAGCCATAGGAAAGGTGGCAAGTACTTAAAGCAAATATACGGACATGGAAGAAAACAGGAGAAAAGAGGGCAACTATTTGCCTTTCGCTTTAACATTCCCTGCTCTCTCTGCCATGATAGGGCAGGGAGGTCCAGGAGCCTGCGCGCGGTCCCCTCTGCGCCCCCTGGTGGTGTCATCCCCTAGCTTAGTGCCTAAAGTCTGTCACATGATAAAAAATAAGACTATAGCAGCAAGGCCAGGACCAGAGGGGAACAAGTGAGGCATGCCTTTTGTGTGCAAAATCTCAGCTCAGTAAGCACAATGAGCAGTATCTTAATACAATATTTGCAAAAATCAAAATTAATGCAACACTTCTATGTTGAACAAAATTTAAAAATTTTAAATGCAGGATCAGCCCCTACACTTGCATGGCTAGGCCTCACTCACCTCACCACAATCTGTCCCTTTTGGATCCTGTTTTATATTTGAAGTGTTGATATTTTGTTCACCACAGACTTTTTTTTTTTTTACATTATTTTTGACTTTTACAATCATTGCAACACAATATTATTTACTTGGTTACTGAGTTTTTTTGTGCCCCTTAAATTCTGGGACTGAGGTGTGTGCCTTCCTTATCTTACTCTTGTCCCAGCCCTGCTGGACAGTTTAAAAGATTTCTGGAAAATTGGGGTGCTTGGGTGGCTCAATCAGTTTAGCGTCTGACTCTTGATTTTGGCTCTGGTCATGAACTTGGGGTTCTGGGATCGAGCCCTGCATCAAGCTCCGTGTCAGGCTCTGTGCTCAGCGGGGAGTCTGCTTGAGGATTTGCTCCCTCTTCCCCCTGTTCCTCCATTCTCGTGCTCTCTCTCTCTAAAATAAATAAATCTTTTTAAAAAAAGATTTCTGGAAAATAGATGATATAGAGACTTATCCCCAAATTTCTCCTTTAAACCCTTAATAATTGTATCTTTAGCACCTAAATAGTGCTTGGCATCTAACAGTGCTCCATAAATGTTTACTGAATGAATGAACGAATCCACTGAGACACAAATGCTTCTTGGTTGCATCTGTACCAGTGCAATAAAATGAGATAGTAAGCTAGGCAAGGTATAAAATTAGGTTTCTAGCTACTCAAATTGTGTTTACATCAGTGGTTACAAATAGTAGAGTTGGCTGTAAGTTTGATAAAATACAGATTCCTAGATCCCTCCTTTAAAGATTCTGATTCAGCAGCCTAGGATGGGAGTGGGTAATTTGTATTTTTACAGAGCTTTCTGTATTATGCTAATGTTATATTAGAGGTCTTAGCCAATGCAACTAGAAAAATCACTGGTAGCTATAAATATTGGAAAGAAGAGACAAAACTCCCATTATTTGCAGAAAGATCACCTACCTAAATAATCCAAGAAAATTAACTGACAAGATGTTAGAACTAGTAAGATAACTCAGTAAAGTGACTGGGGTGGGTGTGCCTGGCTGGCTTAGTCAGTTTAGCATCTGACTCTTGATTTCGGCTCAGGTCACGATCTTGGGGTACTGAGCCCCATGTTGGGCTCTGCGCTGAGTGTGGAGCCTGCTTGAGATTCTCTCTCCCTCTCTCTCTGCCCCTCCCCACCCCCCACTTGCACTCTCTAAGTAAATGAATGAATGAATGAATAAATAAATAAAGTGACTGAACATAGGGTCAATGTACAGAAATTAATAGCTCTCAGACATATCAGTAATGACCACTTAGAATATATGATAGAAAAAACATTCTGTTTACGCAGGAATAAAATGATAAAACACCTGGACCTAATATGAAATGGACAAGACTTCTAATGGAACAAAAGCATAATACTTTATTGAAGAAGATAAAAAAAAGACTTGAAGAAATAGAGAAAAACCTAGTGCTTGGGATTTGGACCCAAGCATTGACTTCAACATCCACACATTTAATCATTCTGATTTACAGATAACTTGCTGAGAGCCAAAATGGAGACAGTATAGGGAAACAGATTTTCCCCTGGTAGAATTGTAACCTGCTACTGTCTTCTTATATGAAGACATTAAATATTTTGAATATGTCAATTCTTTCCTAAATTAATCTAGAACATTAAATATAACTCCAAGCAAAATTCCAACAGTTTTGGGGGTTTTTTGGATGGAACTTGACAGGATGATTCTAAAATTCAGTTAGAGGAGAAATTGCACAAGAATAGCCAAGATTACTTTGAAAAAGAAGGTCAGATTTTGTCCACTCAAATATAAAACATATTGTGTCATATAATTATATAGCTAATATATTACATATTATATACTTGATATATTTCATTAATTACAACTAATCATTCAATTATAACACATGGCATATAATTTTAATATTCTAAACAAATATTAAAACAGTGTGGTGTTGACATAGACATAGACACAGAGATTAATAAAATGGAAAAGAAAATCTAGAAAGAAACTTGTATTTATATGGAAGTTTAATATACAATAAAGGTGACATTTCAAGTTAGTCAGTAAAGAGTAGTTTATTCAGGGGGCGCCTGGGTGGCTCAGACGTTAAGCGACTGCCTTCGGCTCAGGTCATGATCCCAGGGTCCTGGGATTGAGCCCTGCATCGGGCTCCCAGCTCCACGGGAAGCCTGCCTCTCCCTCTCCCACTCCCCCTGCTTGTGTTCCCTCTCTCGCTGTGTCTCTCTCTGTCAAATAAATAAATAAAATCTTTAAAAAAAAAAAGAATAGTTTATTCAGTTAATGATGCTGGGCACCTGGCTATTCATTTTGTAAATACAGTGTTTGATTCTTTCTCTACCTCATGCCATGAACAACAATAAACTCCAGATATATTGAAGATTAGGGATGAAAAAACAAAATCACAAAAATATTTGAAGAAAATTAAGGAAAACTTTTTATAATCTGAAGTAGAAAACAGTTTTTTGAGCAGGACTACAAAAATCAAATCCATAAAAAAGAATGATGAACTTGACAATGGTAAATAATACAAACTTATGTATAAGAAAACACCATAAGCAAAGCCATATGTAACATTCCAACATTCAAGTGTGAATATGTATAATATATAAAGAGTTTCTAACACTCAATAATACAAACAATCCCATAGAACAATTGACATTTCATAGAGGAGGAAATAAAAAAGGAAATAAGCATCTGGAAAAGATGTTTTATTTCAGTAGTAATGTGGGAATATAATAAAAATAGTAATAGTGATGAACACTTATTGAATACTTAGGTCCTAGGTATTGTTCTAGGTGTTACAGATTTTAATTCACTTCATCTCAGCAGTCACTGTCTGAAGTAGGTAATATGATTCTCCCTAGTTTATAAATGAGAAAAAGGAGTCACAGAAGGGCTAGATAACTTGCCTTGTGTCAAAGCCGGGATTTGTACCCACATACTGTGACTTCAACAGCCACACACTTAACTATTCTGATTCACAAAAAACTTGCTAATAACCAGAGGAAACAGATAGATATTCCATTGGTGGAATTGTAAGCTGGTATAGTCCTCTCTTTTTTTTTTTTTTTAGACTTTTTTTTGGTAAGTAATCTCTACCCCCAATGTGGGGCTCTAACTTGCAACCATGAGATCAAGAGTTGCATGCTCTATTGACTGATCCAGCTAAGCACCCCTGGCATGATCTTCTACTTCTTCTTCTTCTTTTTGAAGATTTATTTATTTATTTATTTGAGAGAGAGAGAGAGTGCATGTGAGTGGGGGGAGGGGCAGAGGGAGAGGGAGAAGCAGGAAGCCTGATGTGGGGCTCGATACCAGGACCCCAGGACCTTGACCCTAGCCAAAGGCAGACGCTTAACTGGCTGCCACCCAGGTACCCCTATTTCTGATAATTCTATTTTCTCAAGTTCTTGATGGGGCCACTTGTTAGAATCTGACAGCTCTCATGGTGTTTTGTTTCCTTGTTTTGCAATTTTGGACTGTGAGCTCATCTTTAGTGGAGCTTTATCTGTGGGAATCTCAAGCAGCCTGGAGCCTGGGTCGAGGGACTGTTCCTCCAATGAGGTGTTCTATTTGTTCCTGTTGCATGCCCCAGGGCATTACCAGCATAGGACCACTTAGGTTAATTTCTTAGGGGTTCCAGGACCCTGAAGATAATATAAACTCAAACCACAAACCTGAGTGAGGACAAGTCTGTGGGTGCTAGAGTTCTCAAGTGACTTTTTTTTTTTCTGTGAGAGAGACAGATAATTAATTAAATACAAATTAAATTAATTTGTATTTAATTAAAAACTGAGTGTACAACTGGGTGTCAGGTAGCAATAAATGCTGTTAAGAAAAAAGATAGTGATGGTGATGGAGGGGAGGTCCGGGAAGTCCCCCCTCAGGAGATGACATTTGAGCAGAGGCATGAATAAAGCAACAGAGGGAACCATGCGGATATCTGGGGGAGAGACTTTCAAGCAGAGGCAGGCATGCTGCCAAGTGGGTCAGAAGTCTCTTGTCCAGGACAGCCAGGAAGCCAGTGTGGCCATGGGGAGAGGGAAAGGATGGCCAGAGGGCTTAGCAGGGTGCGGATGCAGTGTTCTGATCTTGGATCGCAGAGGGTGCCTGGTCTGGCTCAGTTAGAGCCTGGATTCTCTCTGCTCTTCCCCTTCTCTCCTTTTCAGCCCCTTGTCCTCTCCTGCCTCTTCCATGGGCTCACCTGAAAGCTGGAGGTTCCAGAGCGAAGAGGTATTTCTCTGAAGGAATTCTGAGATTATTCTGGCCCCCTTCAAGCCAAGATCATTGTCGGAAATATTCTAAAAGGCAAGAACACGCTTATGTGTGTGAAAATCCCAGCCAAGGGCCCTCATTAACAAACGGTGTCGGGGTGGGGCTTACAGGAGGCTGGCACCAGGGAGTAGGGCTGGGAGGGGAGAGGGGCAGGGGTGAAAGGGTAGGAAGCATTGGGAAGAGCAAAGGAGGAGAGGACAATGGGAATTCAGCTTTCCTAACGCCCAGCTGTGAGGCCCTCTCACTGGTCTCCGTTTTCTCTGAAGTTGGTTTTGGTGACTCCCCACTTCTCTGGTTTAGCCCTAGTACTTTAGATAAGCACACTGTACTATTATTATTATTTTTTTAAACCTAAGGCAGCTTTATTTGGAGAGTTTGGCATAAAGCAACTGAAAGATTCATTTAGAGTAACTCATCGTTGTAAATTCCATTCATTGATTCGTGAAGCATGGACTCTGCCAGGAACACGTAAGGATACAAATGGACATAGTCCTTTTGGGCTAGCAGGAGGGACCTTTATATAAACCAGCCCTTATTATCTTAATTGTTTCTCTTCTCTTTTTTCCTCCCATTTTTAAATTATGGTAAACTAGACATAACACAACATTTACTGCCGTAACTCTTCCTAAGGGTACCATTCAGGGGTCTGAAGTATATTCACATACTTATGCAACCCTCACTGTCATCTGTCTCCAGACACATTGTGTTTGATGAAAGCATGTCATGCCTTTATTTTCTCTAAGTTCACTTTAAAGCGACTCTGTGGAAGGGCTTATAAGGTCCAGACAGAATTGGTTTCTCAGGGTTTCCTTGGGCCACAGGGAACACAGCCCCCTGGCCAGCCTCCGACACACACGGCCCTCCTCTGAGAAGTCACCTCTGGAGGAGAAGGGCCTCCAGGCCACTCACAGAAGGCTGCAGGCTGGCCGGGGCTGGGCCCGTCCCAGGTGGGTTCTGAGAGCCTTGGTGTGGGGGAGGGAGCCGGCAGAGCAGGGCACAGTACCATCTCCTGCAGGTAGTAATTCTCTTGAAGCATCTCCACCAGGCTCAGGAGGCCCTCCTCCATGAGACAGTTGTCTGCCAGCTCCAGCGTGATGACACTCGTGTTGGACTTCGGCCGCCACCACGGGAGGGGGAGAAAGACAGAGGGAGTCTGTGATCCGGCCAGTTCCCCACCCTTGCCCAGAGCCTGTCCTCTTCCTTAACATCCCAGCCTTTTTGGAGGGTACGGGGATGCAGGCTGGCACTTCTGGAGAATGGAGAGGAGCAGGAGAAAGCCCAGGGACAAGCCATCCTGCTGAGGTGTGCTGGGACAATATGCTTATTCTGGGCACCTCCACCAAAGGGGGCTCTGCAGGGGAATTTAGAATGGGGACATTAAAACGATGAAGTCAGGGCGCCTGGTTGGCTCAGTCATTGGCTGTGTGCCTTCAGCTCAGGTCATGATCCCGGGGTCCTGGGATTGAGCCCCACATCGGGCTCCCTGCTCAGCGGGAAGCCTGCGTCTCCCTCTCCCACTCCCCCTGCTTGTGTTCCCTCTCTCGCTGTGTCTCTCTCTGTCAAATAAATAAAATCTTTAAAAAAATAAAAAATAAATAAAATGATGAAGTCCCTGAAAACTGCGAGGAACAGGGATGATCTAAACAGACTGTAGCTATTTAGCCTGGAGGAGAGAAGCTGTGACCTACTCCAAGATTAAGGAGAACTTGCTGCATTTAATCAGGGTATTTAAATATAAAACATCTACTGGCGCTGGCTTTCTCCAGAGGTCTTGCTTCTAGTTTAGGCTCTGGCTTATCTGGTACGTTTCTTTAGTCAGGACATGGCCCCAAGGCTGCTTGGAAGGACCTGGGCTTCAGTGTTAAATATCTACATCCAAGCTAGTTGGCATGCCCACAGGCAGCAAGGTCAGAGGAAGTGACTTGCAGCAAGACGGCCAGGGGTCTGCTCTAAGCAGCACTGTTTGCTATTCAACCCTTCCGCACCTTGGGGGTCCCGGTACGGAAAGAACAGATACATGGCTGGACTTGAGCATTTTCAAAGTGTGCCAAGCAGCGAGAGAGGTAGCCAGCGGTAAGGAGCTCTAGCTCCAGGCAAAGGGCAAATGTAAGCTCAGCTACTGCGATGCGAAATGGTCCGCTCAGGGCCTTCTGGTCTCAGCTCTCTGGGGCGGGCAAAAGTCCATCGTGCTCAAAGGCCACGGTCCTGGCTCAGGTGGCCAGGTGTCATTTAACAATGTCCAGGATCGGGGGGTCGGATGGCCAGTTCCGGAGTCACCCTGGTGACCAGCACGGTGTGGGGGGCAGTGGGCAACCCCTCCCCCCAGGCCTATCCACATTCATCTCACACAGGCCAGTAGCCACTGGTTACCCTTTGTGCCCACTGCTGGGGAAACAAGAATGAGCAGAGAAGACCCGAGCACCCCACCAAGTGCAAGGGCGCAGAGGCGGGCAGGTGAGGGAGGGATGAGACGCATGAAATATGACCACAACTATCAGGGTGCTTTTAAGCTAAGCCAGGGAAACACAACATGTGCAAAGTTGAACAGTACAAAAGATAAATAACAGTTCAGTCTGCTGACATGTCACAGTGATTAATTGTCAAATTAGTGACACAGAGAATCAGAGAAGAGAAAACTCCCCCCAAACAGAAACTGTTGTTACTAAGAGACAAGTGGCCCAAGTCCTGAGAGAATTGCATTATTATCCAGTTGTTGTTTTTTTTTCATGAAACTCATGAGGTAATGGTGCATTCCTAACACCTCATTAATCAGTCTTTCAACACTTAATAAATTTCAAGATGGCTTTGTTCCTTCTCTGCTCTTCCCCTCTTCCCTCCCCGCCAGAAAGCAGCACAATCTCACATTTCATGTAGCCTCTTAATGGGCATGTGCTAAATGCAAATGCTGTGCTATTTCCCAAAATAAGTGAGTACTTTTTTTTAAAAATCAAACTTCCCCTTTACCATCCTAAATGAACAGTGTTGTGCTGACCTACAGTTGTCACATGTTCTGTTTTTCTGGGATGGAAGTTGGTTTGTATACAATCAATTATAACTATATAAAGCCATGATGAATTCAAGGTCAAGTCCTTGGTTGCTCATGCCAAGCCGAGAGAGAGAGAGAGAGAGAGAGAGAATTATTCTTATGGGAAAACATGATCTACTCTACAGTGTGATCTTTTAAGAATTATAACATTGCAAAAGGCAAACATTGAATGGAATAGCTCAGTAGTGAACCTATTTATAGCGAAGGTGGGCTTTGGAATTGAGACCCAGGCTGACGTTTTGTATTATGCACTTGCATTAGTGCCCAGCCCAGCCACTTACCCAGGGCTGTTGCCTTTGCTTCCTGAATCAGAAAGAGCATAGGCTTCCAAGGCCAAGGTCCCTAGCAGCCCCCTTCCCAGGGGCTAATGGGGCATCCCTGCCTGTTAGGTAAATCAACTGGTAGTCAAGCAGAGCCTAGGGCAGGGTGGGCACAAAGCTTGAAATTTAGGGTCCCATGGAGGCTCTGAGTCTCAGGCCCACCACTCCATCAACCCCCACCTCTGTCTTCACGTGCTCCCATTGGCATGCTCACCACCAGGGCTGTAGCAACAGCCTTAGTACCGTTGGGGCCCAGCCCATGGTGGCTGAGGTTCACGTAGGACTCCTCCATATTCCGAAGAAAGTAGGAGACAGGCACTACACCCATCAGTTTGCAGGCCTCCAGGTATAGCTCCCTTTGTCCAGTGGTGAAAAATTTCTCCATATCTACACAAAAAGATGCAAATGGATGAAGTGGGGTTTCTCTTCTCCCTTTGCCTTATTTCCCCTCTAACCCCAGGCCAGGTGCGCTTCTGCCTGGGGTCTCCTCTGCCCGAGGATGTCCCTGTGGGTATGTGCGCTGGAGGGCGACTCCAATCAGGAAGGCAGCCGGAGGTGGGAGAGGGAGACCCAAATTTCAGAAAGCCCCAGATGGACGTCTCCCTTTGGGTAAGAGACAAGGCCCCTGGTTTTAGGCCCCAAGCTTTCCTAGGAGAAGGAGCAGTGTGCCCACGCCCATCTGCCCGGGTTGCCACATCCAGGATTAATTATCAAGGATGCATAAAGGCCCTGCTCTCTTGCCCACCATGGGGCAGCTCGGAAAGGCCAAACAGACAAGAAGCTCATTTGTGATAGTTGAGGGGAGCCTCCATTTAGTTTTAGTTTCATGGCCACTGTTAAAATGAGAGCCACAAGGGAAGCTTTACTAAAGATTTAGAGAGATTCCAACTTTGAAGTACCCAAGTAGGACTGAGTGGGCTTCTCAAGGTGGCCAATCAATGCAAGATGGAGAGACACCCCCCCGCTTCAAATCAGCATGAAACAAAGAAACTTGTATTTGAGTGGGCTTTCCTCTTTCAAAGACTTTCATGTCATTTTCCTCACAAAAAGGACGGTCATGCCTCCTTTACCAATGACAAATCTAGCCCCAAATCACACACAGCTGATCAGCGCTAAAACCAGCTAACAGAATAGGGGACTTTAATCTCTCCATTCCGACCTCTTGGGGCGTTTGTTCCTCGGGCTTTAGACCTGCCTGGCTCGTGGTCAACGGGCAGTGGGCCTCCCTGGGTTCCCTATGGCCTCACAGCTGTCTCCTCATTAAGTGAGTCCCTTCCATGGCTTCCCATGGCCAGCTGAGGTCTAAAGCCTGCATCTGTTTTTCGTTCGGATGCCAGGGCCTTTGGCCAACCCAGCCCGGACATTTCTGAGGCAGACAGTGAGAGCTTTGTCGGTGAAAGGACAACTTTACAAGGAAGTTGACTTTGCAGGCACAGCTACTAATTGGCCTTCTCCTTAGGATGGTGGTAGAGCAGAGTCTCTCAATCCTGGCACTACTGGCATTTTGAGTTGGATAATTCTCGGTTGCGAGGAGCTGTCTTGTGCCGTGAAGGATATTTAGCAGGATTCCTGGCCTCTGCCAGTGAGATGCCAGCAGCATCCTCCACCCCACGCCAGCCCAGGTTGCCCAATGTCCCCTGGGGTGCAAAATCGCCTCCGAGTGAGAACCACTGCCGCATAGGACGGACAGCATGTGGCAGGGGAGCAGCTTGTCCTGTCTTCTCTCCCTCCTCTGTAGCTTCATTGCAGCTTGCTATTGCACCTGGGCTCAGGTCTCAGGCCTGCCGGGGAAGCCGTCTCTGCCCCACTCCCAGCACCTCAGTACCAGCGGCTGGGGCCCGAGAAGCTGGAGCAGCTGGGCCCTGGGTTTCTGTCCCAGCATGGCATAGGTGCCATTAGAGAGTCCTGTTCGCCAAGGCAGGGTCGGTAACCCCCACCTTTATCCTTGGCACTAATTCTGCTCTGTTTTGTTCTGCGGACCCTTTCTAGCTGTAGTCACTATGGTGGTATTTTAGTTTATTTTTAAAAAAGATTTTATTTATTTATTTATTTATTTGGGAGAGAGAGAGAGGGCATGAGCTAGGGGAGTGGCAGAGGCAGAGGGAGAAGCAGGCTCCCCACTGAGCAGGGAGCCGGATGCGGGGCTCCATCCCAGGATCCTGGCAGACGCTTAACTGACTGCCACCCAGGCGCCCCACTCTGGTTGTATTTTAGAGGCAGCTTGCAACAGTGTTATCTTTTGTGGGGAGTTGGGGGGTGGGGGAGGAATGGGATGGAAGCAGGAATCTGGGAGAAAACATCCAGTTTCCATCTGCTACCCCCTCCAACCATAAAATTCCGTGCTGAAAACATTAGTACATTAGCAGTCTTGGCATGGAAAAGAAGTCAGAAAAAGAGCAACAAGATGCGGTGTGGGCGGGCAGGAAGGAGGCATGCGTGGAGGCGAGGTTGTGTGTTGACCACGGGTGTTGACCACACACACCAGTGTGTGTTGACACACTGATCGTGTGTAGGGTCTTGTGCTAAACGCCCCCTGTGTCCTCTGGGTTTATGCACTGACTGACCTAGGCTGGCCCATCAGGCGGGGCGAGCCTTGTGCTCACCTTACTTCACAGGGGTTCTGGGCACCTCCCTCTTTGGGGAAACAGAGAGGGAGAAGAGGGTGAAGCCTTGTTTGCAGTAACAGAGTCTTTGCTGCAGCTCAGCCAGCCCCTCCTCACCCGCCCTCCCACCTCCCAGGGCACACTTGCTTTGTCCAGGGCGAACTCTCAAGTAGGAGAACCAAGAACTCGAATGTGAGTAGAGAGGGAAGTCACCAGGATGCAAGATGGGCCACAGACACTCCGGGGGCCCCCAGAGTACAGAGCAGATCGGCAGGGTGGGGTGAACAGGGGATCGGCGAACATTGGCAGCTCTCCGTGGCCTTGGGCAACTCACGATCCCCGTAAGCCTCAGTTTCCTCCTCTCTAAAAGGCGGGTGATGATGACTACCTCCCGGGACACTTGCAAAGATGACATGTGGAAACATTGAGAAAACCAGAAATCCCCGTTCATGTGTTGGTTTAGCTTCAACAAGCTGATGTGACCACTCTGCTCACCAGGTAGGCCACGAGCACAGGGCTGCTGCAGCTGCCACCACCGGGCCAGCCTTGAGGAGGACGTGGCATAAAGCCGCCCCAGGCTGCAGCCACTCTCCTGCAGGACGGACGGCCCACGGGCCAGAGCCACGGCCGCCCCAGGGGAGTAGAGCTGTCCAGCTTCTGAGGAAGGAGGTGCACCACCACCCCGCCCACTAAGGGCCCACCCTCACCTTCGATCTCCAGGTCGGTTTCTGAGCTCTCCCAGGCTGCCTTCTCTTTTTCCACAGCCCCGGAGGCCTCGGCCTCACAGTAGAGGGTTTCATCACTGTTCTGTGGCGCTGGTTCGGTTTCGGGTTCATCTGGAAGAAAAACTCATCTCCTTGATGCTGGAAATGAAACCTGCTGGCCTTTCACATGGAGCCCGACCTATACTCCCTGGCTCTGCAAGGCGGTCCCAGCCACAGCCTGGGATGCCCCAGCCTCATGGGGCTCGGGGTGCCGAGGAACTGCAGTGTGTGTTCAGTCCCCCAGGGGGACTCCATTCTACAAGCCCTCCCTCCAGGACAGTGCCGCCTCCTGATTGTGTGTAGGGTCTTGTGCTAAACGCCCCCTGTGTCCTCTGGGGACTCCCTGCTCCCGCCCTGTTCCCTGCTTTGAGCTTATCTCAGAGACTGGCTTTTTCCTGCTCTTTTGGCTCACTCTTTTCCTGCTCATTGGCTTGGGTGGGGTTCAGGGTCTGCTTCACTCTTTCAGGGAGAGGATGTGTGCCGATGCCCAGGCTTCCTCACTGGCGGGCATAAGCCATGCTGCGGATGGCCCAGGGCAGGGCAGGGCAGGGCAGGTGACTTGGGTCAAATGTGAAATGAAGTGGAACAGGAACAGTCCCAAGGAGAAAGAAGGATAACTTGATTCCTAAGAATTTGACCTAGCTTCTCTCCTTTCCAATCCAACATTTTGGGACCACGAAGAAGGAAGGGCTTGCAAAATCTTGCTGGGGTTGAAATTAATTGCTATGATTAAATATCCACGCCCTATGCTTCTCTCCCACCAGTCCCTATACTCGCTGGACATGGGTTTTCTGCCATTGGACCACTGATCTGGAACCAGCATGGGTTCCTGAAAACCTCACACAAGGGTCCAGAGCTAGTCATCCCACCTCTGTGGGATGCAATGTTTGGGGAAGCCATGCTCAACCACCGGGTAGCCCATCAGAACTTGGCCAATCTACTCTTTGGGTGGGCTGAGCATTTGTGGTGGTGGTCCCAAGTTTTAACCACCCAGGTTCTAAGATAGTGGGGTTCCTAATGAGTCCACGCAGGTCTGTGTTTTCTTAGTCCTTATCCATAAACCCAAGCTCCAGTGTTTATTTCCAAGAGGGTAAGACAAGGTCTGCGTGATAAGAGGTGGAAGGAGCAGTACCCCAGCAGTTAGAAGACATACAGTGGCGTAGCCATCGAACTCAGCCATCAAAAAGTGATGACTTTCTGAGTCTTAATATCCTCATTAGTCCTACAATTTCGGAATTCCATAGAATGCTGTTAAATATTTAACTGTCTCTCTAGGGAAAAAAAAAATCCTGATTTGCAGTGTTGGCCAATTCAGGTGGCGTAAATATTCCCAACACGGCTGATTTCAAACTACCAACATGACATAGGCCACCCACAAAATGAAAATTAAAGTCAGCCAGAGCTAGTCCAAGCAGTTCCAGCACAGCATCGCATCTCGCATCCAACTCTCTCACTCCCTGTTTGGGAAGCCCTGAAGCCAAGTCACTGTGACACACTGTCCCAGTTCTAGAGGGTCCCACGTGAGGAGGGGAGGGGGTTTCAGGGTCCATGTGATCACTGGGTATTACACTGAGGCAGCCCAGAAGGGCCCCAGAGGTGAGAGATGGGATGCCTGTTCACCTTTTGTCTCAGGCTCAAGAGGCTCATCATTGTCCATGGTGTCAGGGCTCTCTCGGGGGCTGCTGCCAGCTTCTTGCCACCTTTCTGCTGCTCCCCTAAGAAGCACACCTGTCCATTCCCTTCTGTCTCAAAGTTTGTGCACCCTGCCCTCACACAGACAAATCCCGGGGCGGGGGACCTGGAGTTATTCTTTCATCCCAGAAAGCCCTGGGGAGAGGGGGCTTTGGTGGGAAGAGGATAGGCATGGATTGGACTCCAACTCTGTCTGGGAGAAGTAGCTCCTTCCCCGGATCATCAGGGAAAGTGGTACAGCTCGATTCCTGGGAGCCCTGTCGAAAGGATGCCCACCCGCCTGCGACTTTGTGACTTAGGACCCACTATCATTTCACCTCTTCAACATTCCATGACCTCATGCGGTCATTGTGATCCACGTGGGTGGACCTGGCAACAGCCAGCCTCCCACCCTCTTGGTGGCTCTGGCAGGTCCTCTTTTCTCATATGTCCGCGGGGGCCGAGCCCAGGCTTGGCTGTGAGTGTGCAGGTGCTGTGGGGGGTCCTCTCGGTGGTGTTGTATTTCCCTCTGAGGCAGGAGCAAACCCAAGCCCATTAGTCAGGTGACTGTGAAGAGCGGCCACCATGTTCTTCTCTCAAGGTGGTTGTGCTTCAGGTACAAAATATTTCAGTGATGGGTGAAGTCCATTTTCTTCTACCCAGTTCTCTTTCCTTTTTTCTTTCCTCCTTGGGAAGGCATCCTCAACCTTGGAGCAGAAGATCAAACGCAAAGCCCGACAACCATATGTTCTATCACTACAATTTGTTGCAGCCAAAGCATTGTTCAATCCAAATTACCGGGCTGCCTAACTTGAAACCACTCAACCATCATTCACACGCTGGGCTGTTTTCACATGTCTTGGAGTTGAAGTTCACTTGCAGTTTACTCTCAAGAGAATCTGGAGGCGTGTTTGTTCCTTCTTGATAAACTTCCAGCACATCAACGGTCAGGTCAGTGACTGGAGGGCTTCGGGACGTGGAAATCCCTCTTTGCCACTCAGAAGAATGATGACGATCTAGGAATTTGTGAAAGGAAACCATAGTTAGAAATCTGAGATGTTACTCATTCCTTCACGCATTTGTTCTGTAAAATATTTATGGAGCATCTATTATGTATAAGGCACTGAGATAGTCAACCACTGTGGGGAGGGGATGCAGACATGATTATGGCATGGACCTTTCAGGGCATGTATCATACAAGATAGAAATTGACACAGCCACCTCTAGGGTGTGAGGGTTGTGGGCAAATATTTTTGGCAGAGCTCCCATTCATAAAATGAATTTGGGTCACCCTAAATCAGCATGGCAACACCATTCTACTGGTCCAATCTCCTGTGGTTCCTTGAAAGAAACACCAAGCAGACCGGGGCTGTGCTTGTCCCCTAGGATGATTTGGTAAGCATGAGTCCTGGAGATCCTTTGGGCATCTGATATACTCCATGCTGGTGCAGAGGATAAGAAAGTGTCCTTAAAGGAGAAAAAAAGGGGACTGGAGAGTATGTTGGTCCTGGTCTAAGCTCTAGGTGCTCTGGACAGCACCATGTGGTCTCAGGCACAAAGGGAGAATTAGAAAATTTGGAGGAGAGCACCCTAAATAGCCACTGGGCAGAGGCACCAGGCAGTTATTGGAAATTGATAAGGGTCATGAGGGAGATTCTCTGGGAGTCCAAGGGAAGGTGAGGTTTCTTCATGCTGAGGAGCGTTCGTGGGCTCTGGACAAGTATCGTCCTGACAAAAGGCATTTCCAGGAATGTAGAATAAAGGAAGGCTACAGAGCCCCAGGTGGGTTTGGGGGAATATAGGGTGCAGGGAATAGTAGGGAAAAGGGAGGCAACAGGGACCAGAGTAATTTCAGGAATAGATTCAATGCAATGAAAAGTCAATAGGAAGCCACTGAAGATTTTTGAACAGGAGCATGATTTAATCAGAACTTCTCTTTATGATGATGGAGAGCAATTATTTATTTATTTGGGGGAAAGAATCTATTCTGGAGAAATAAAAATGTTCAAGAACCATAATTTTAAAATGTTATATCTTTTTAACATCATAAAATGTATTTGCAACTTCTTTTTATATGTTATTTTAAAAGTTTATTACTGAGGGGTATCCTTTTTATTTTTTAAAGATTTTATTTAGGGGCACCTGGGTGGCTCAGTTGTTAAGTGTCTGCCTTCGGCTCAGGTCATGATCTCAGAGTCCTGGGATCGAGCCCAGCATCAGGCTCTGCATCAGGCTC